AAGAAATTGAACTCGGAGGGTCAAACTTTCCAGCATGAAATTCACGTTATCCAGAGTGGAAAGGCAAAACGCACCAATGATTCAGAGCTAAAACTTTGCTAAGTTTAAAACAACCGTAAACATTTATCACAAAACATGCCTGGTTGTAGGCCTTTTAAAAATGTTTCTACTTAAGACGTCTGTCTTCTGGGTTGTTGCGCCGTGTAGTCTGGCAGAAGTTTACCGATGTTTCAGAGGTCATACTGCCTCCGTCATCAGAGTATGATGATTTCTGTCTTCTGGGTTGTTGCGCTGTGTAGTCTGGTCGATGTTAACCAACGTTTCAGAGGTCATACTGCCTCCATCATCAGGGCGATGAGTATGAAGATTTCTGTCTTCTGGGTTGTTGCGCTGTGTAGTCTGGTAGAAGTTTACCGATGTTTCAGAGGTCATACTGCCTCCGTCATCAAATCCTACATGTTTCTACTTAACATCCAATGACTTCCCAGCAGTAACATTACGCCTATCCTATTCATTTTAAGTTGAAAGTCTGCAAAATTTCAAAGTAAGCAAAGTAAAGCAGTCCCGCTACACGCCATGTTAGTCATTTGGGGGGAGGGAGGTATAGTTCCTACTCATTTTTGACCTCGGCACTAGATGGGGGTCAGTGGTCAGCGTCACGCCTCGACCGCTCTTTACCCCCGGGAAAGGACCCCGGTACCCATTGGATAGGAGGTTGGGTGGGCCCCAGAACCGATGTCAAAGTTCCGCGTAAAAATAAATTTCCTGGTCACATGTCGGAACATTCCTTTATGTTTCGGCGAAACATCAACTTTTGATCGTCAGAATTAAAGCTATACCGTAGTCTACATAAAATATTTATGTTATTCATTTGTTAAAGAAAGTACCCACTTTCACGCGGAAAGAAAGTCAACAAGGAGTTTACTTAAGGCTGTTCCTGGACAACATCCAACTTCGAACATATTATTTGCATTTAGAATTTTAGCTTTACTGTGCCGCATACATAAGATAACCATAAAACTGAGAAAAATGTGATGTCTCGTACATAAACCATTTGCGACATAACACACCTAATTTCTATCGACCTTTTACCATTGTTTCTGTTATTGTATTGTATGCGTGTCCGGTATTCTGAATATGTTTGGCGTATGCAGAATTATCTTTGTTGAGTTTTAAGTTTATTGATATAATTTTACACCTGAAGATGGTTCGATGAAACCGAAACATGTTGTAAAAATGTTCCAAATGTAAATCGATTATTCGATGTGGAACATAAAATGATAATTTAATTATCTTATTTGTAAATTTTAAATTTTAAATATAATTGTGATTAGACGGACAAAACCGAATAATTAATTTAATAACTTTTATATACTCCCTTCTTATTCTTCTGCAACTTTCACGGACAAGACCAAGGTCACATGACCTGTTTCAACGCACAATAAACAATAAAGATATTAATCCTTTCAGACATTTTGTAAGACTTCTCGTGTAGCGGGTCGGCCTAACCTAACTCCTGTACCTATACAAAGTGACACAACGCGGACAAAACTCCATGCCTCGAGTGGGATTCGATCCCAGTGTTGATATTATTTTATTTCCTAAATGAATTTAAGATTGTGGTGTCAACAAGTTGCTTTCTCTTTTAAAAAAAAAATTAACGTATAAACTTTTCAATTCCATTTATCAGTAATACCAATATCAAGTAATTGTAAACCCCTGAGGTGGGTGTTAACAATGGCGTCAGGTTTCTGAATTATATTAAGAAAAATGAATTAAATAACACTTATTTAAATATTTCTCTGTGCAATTAAGAAGCGTGGGAGACGATGTAATTAAACTTTACATAAATCGTATCCATGAGATGATAAATTTGCGTCATATTGTGATAAATATATATTTCTTTAAATCTTGTCAGATATACCATTTAATTATCTTATATTACTTTATTGTGATTGACGGACAATTTTAATATATTTTAATACTATTTTTAAATCTTGTCAGTCTAATCACAATAAAATTCCTATTAAATATCGAACATTCCGATAGAGAACATCATTTTAATATATTTTAAATATTTAAATTTTAATTATGGTAATATTTTAATATTTAATAGGAATTTTACTGTGATTAGACTGACAATATTTAAACAAATATAAATCGTATCGCATATTACTTGCAATTAAAGGAATGGGGGAATAGATAAATAGGGCTTCTATGCTTCCGTACCTCGGGATTTGAGTAGGAACATACAAAGCTTCCTCGAAATTCAAATTAAAGAAGATGTATTACATTTATTGTGTTTTCCAGGTTACCAACATCGGAAGAATAATGTCTGACGACGAGAGTGACATCTGCAGAATGCCAGTCAAACCTTCCCTTATCACGACAGTAGATTGTATATTGTTTGTCCTGACAAAAGAAGGTAGAATGGGGGAGGGGACACACAGAGAGAGAGAGAGAGAGAAGACAGGACATCAGAAATGATGATGAAATGGCTGACATTCTGTTGTCATAGTTACCCAAAGCATTCACTAATGAGGCTAGACGGTAATGACGCTAGGGAGGACTAAAATTTCCCTATTCTTCCCATAACAATTCCCGAAATAGACGCTCTTTAACGTGAAATGCCACGCTAACGGCACAACGAAAACATGAAATTTCGTAATGAAATGGTTTATTTCTATGGCGTTCAAAAATAATCGCTGTAAGCTTTCAATTAATTACTTCACATTTCATATGATCCTTTCCCCTCCATGATTTATCGGCCCAATGTTTCACGCCTTCTGAAATTTCTCAATATAACAGGTTGAAAAACATAATTTTCTTGAGAACGCTGCACGGAGCTTGTAGTGGCAACTTGGGGCTTAGGAAAAATCTCATCACTTGCTTAAACACAGCCGAAGACCACGAAATCTATTCCAAGATGGCCCCTGAAGTCGAAGCTCGATTAAATAACATTTAAAAATTCGATTCTTATCTCAGAAAAAATATATAAAAAGATAAAATACAAATACATTCTTCAAATAACAGCTGTTTTTTCTCTTGGAATTACACAAATATCATAGATTCACTGTTAGTTACAGAGTTTGGTAAAATCAAAATTTAGTGTTACATTTATTTACCACTAGGTTTAAATGTTTATAGTACGTCACAAGTGTTTCTTTAGTGTTTAGCCACAATCAATATTAAATATCATAAACAACTTCTAAAGTTTGTACATAATACTGTTTCATAATACACGATAATGTAATGAGACGAGTCAGAATGTTATCTGGCCCACGTAAATATTTCTTTCTAGTAATGGGTGAGATTGTATTTAAGAAAGGCGGTTAACCTCGAGAAGAAATCGAAATTCACAACTACAACGTCCCGTCCACTTGTACTTATGAGCAAATGTCTCATTGAAGATATTTAACAGCGGTATAAATTTTTTTAATTTCAACTCAGTTTCAGCACAATTACATATCCTGAAATACTGAAATTATCATTTAAGTTTAAAAGAAAATAGAAACAAAATTTTCCATAATGAACACAACCTCCCTCGTCCTTCTCTGCAAAACACACGTCTAACAGATAAAAATCAACGAGGCGAAAAATGCTTTGAATTTCTGGTGTTAAAACGCCATTATATTTTATTATTGCTTAGTTCCTAGAAAGTCGAGCATTAGAGGTGGCCATGCATACAAATATCCAACACCATCTATAACAAGCATTCTAAATCGAATGTTATAACTTATTCAAGTCTCCTTTGCTCACTGTCTTTTAAAAGGCGCGCTGATGGTCGAATCGCATGGCTAGAGACTATAACACTTAGTACTGGGAGCTCGTTCTTTGTAGCCTAATTTCTCTTTAACAGATGGCACACAATGCAAGCAAAAATCGACCATAATGGACGCCGCTTTAAGACTCGTTTTCTTCACAGCACAAAATAATACCCTCACACAAAAGCAAACTATCATTTATCAATCTTGAAGAAGAATGTTCATTTACAAAAAAAATTAGGGGTTTTAAACAATGAATGAGCATTTATGTTTGAAACACGTCGACGTTTCTCAGAGGCTTCCTATTGGGTACTTGGTCCATTACGCTGGTATGTTAACAAGTTCCAGCAAAGAGAATACAGAAAATGTAAAATAAAATAAAGACGGGAGACTCGGAAATCAGCAAACGGAAGAGGGGAGGAAGAACAACGAGTACTGAGGGGGGGGAAATGGGCGCTGAGGAGAGATCTGTGGTAAACATTACGGAGAATTTAAAAAGCAAAATTTACTGTATTATTACGAAGAAGTTTTTGTTTTAGAAAAGAAAAAAATATTTGCAACAATATAACTTCTCCGGAAACCTGTATAAGCAGAGACAGAAATGGAAAAAGATTTTCTTTTAGTGTTCTGTCTGACGACAGGTCCATATGAACAGGATCCTTCCATCCTTTTCTCGGACTGGGACCTGTTCATATACGTTCTTGGCAGATGATCCAGAAGTGGTTTGCCATTGCCTTCTTCTGTGTGTGAATGGAGTAATTGTTGGGATGCCACGCAGGAAAACTCCGTGTTGCCCAGACCACGGCCTTGCCCAACACAAGTTATAAATTCGGGCACCGCCGGGAATCGAACCCGAGACCCCCAGGATTACAAGGCCACTAATTACTGATCAGGAGTGCCAACAACTCGACAAAGTTCGGAGACAAGTCAAACTAATCGTAATAATAAACCTGTAAAAGTAAAGTAAAATTCCCATAAATTGGGTGAAACTTTTCATTGAGTCATGCAGGGCACCCAAACATTATTGATAGGAATTATCTATGTCCCAAATGTTTCCCTTACAAGCTTCAAAATACTGCAGTAACATCGAGTAAGGTGATGACGTAACATGCTAACCTAACCTAACCTAACCTAACATACAAGCGCACGTTATAACATCTTGATTAGCTAATGTTTTCCAGCATAATTTCACACTTTTGTTTTGCTGATGCAAACATTTATTTATCACTTACTCACCTTTCTCGTCGATGATGGGGACTCCACCGAACACCTGAGGAGAAGCTGGAACTGCATTTGTAATTAGCAGCAGCACCACTAGCGCCCCAAGTGGTAGCTTGTGGCCACAATTCATATATCTCACGTCACTCATTCTGCAGCTAACGGCTCGTCTCTATGATATCGACTTCTTCCAGGTCGATAACATTGGGAATCGATATATCGCACATCATGGTTCGGCTAATCAGTCTTCCTAATGGGATATCGACAGAAAAAATGGTTCAGTTCATCAGGTTAAGGGGGCAGGATGTCTAATAAATTAATAGGAAATTCATTGGCTTGCAGAAGAGTATTGATTACTGTACTAGAAAGGTTCTAAACATTCTGATAAAATAAAAACCTAAATAAAATATGAAGCAAACTGAATTACTGAATACGGATACAATATTAAAATAATGTTTTTCTGTAAGCAAAGAAACATAAGCGACTTGCAGATTTCTTCAAAGTTCCACATCATGGAGATTTTACTTCCAGGATGCTTACATTTCAAAAATTACACTCCATGTGACGTTTTATCTTTGTTTTATATTAAGAAAGTAGTTTAAAGCACGTAGAATATTAATGGAAAATCTCATTAACTACATAAATTATAATATTATAAAGATGGCTTTCTACTGGGTTACTAAGCCGCGTAATCTGGTAGAAACTTAACGACGTTTCAGATGTACCTTCTGCCTCCATCATCAGGGCGATAATGGCCTGCTAATGGATGCACAAAATATATCTGAGAGGTCAGAAAACTTTTACCAGACTACACGAAATATTTTATATTCTTACAGATTCAGTAAATGATAACGTTCAGCATCACACGCCTAAACCAAGGTATACAAAGGTGATAATAATCTTATATAAGAGACCATTACATCCACAGCCTACGTACACAGACTGACCGTGACATTTTTAACAGTTACGTAGGTTTAGAGTGGAAGGCAAACAAGGACCTTTATGTCGCCTTCGAAGGTCATTCTATACAAGTTTTTATGTTAACATTTTCAAATGACAGGAGATTCCGCAAAATCCTATATACAATATTTTTCATTTAATTCAAATTTTGAACACCAAAGAATGTGACCAAGTAAATTTTATAATATTTACAATTGTAGAACGTACAGAGATCGTCTGATGCATTAAACGATTGACAAGCAAGACGGAAGTAGATTAATAAACATCAGCAATTGCTAATTAATAATGATTTAAAAACATTAAGATAAAAATCGACAATTTCCTTGAAACTTTTTATATTCTAAATGGCGCCAGTGTTTTTCCGCGTCACGTGTCGAACACCAACCACAATGGCATTAATGACGTCAGAGCAAATACCAAAACTATTTCATTTACAACGGTAAACTTTTATATTCATTTTACTTAAAGTCGGATAATTATTTTTTTACATACAGATGAACAACGATATACAGTTATACAAAACTATTAAGAAACAAAGGTTCGTTCCTTTAAACCATAAACCCTATTAATAAAACCGGAATTTCAAGAACTCTTGAAGATACGATCTTCGCAAACTGCATCATAGGCGGACTGCTACAGACTGCAAGTAGAAACACGACTAGTCTTGGTACAGAAAACACAACAACAGGCAGACAAGAGCCACAGTCCTTTCTGAACACGACATAAAAATAAAGGTTTTATGGCTTTCCTTGTATATCAAACCATTTACATGCTGAAATAACATAAAAGTTTGTTTTTATAATTTTTACAATTCCTGTACTTGAAGTGATATGTTTGACGGTTGCTGACAAAGCTTTAGACATCTTGAGAGGATATTATTAGATCTTTGTTCAAGTAATTTTGAACTGTTGACTCAACGCATGGAATCGTTTGCTGCTATCTTATGTTTCGTCATTTCTATTTCGAAGTATCCGGGGTGACTGTCACTGGAAAGAAACAATCTATTCCGGTTAACAATTCTTATAGTTTACTCCTGACAAACTACGGAATAATTATTAACTTCAAATAAACCACAGCAATTTCACTTCAACATCAGTCTGATTCGTCATTAATTTTCATCTTACCAATCTGAAACCGAAGCTCGTCTAATATTATTTAAGAATTCAGTCCGTACCTCAAAGAAAACACAAAATTTCACCATTACAAAGATCAAATGTTTAACGCTGATTAAGGAAATGATCGCTGTTTACAGTGAGAAACATGCGAAACCCACAAATTCAAAACAAAGTCAATAACCCTTAAAGTAGCTGGTACATATAGTTACCAATAAGCTCTAAAGGGCTACACGACAGGCCTAGTAGCCGAAGGTCACCGAATCTGTACCTCCATCTGTAGGCATTGCTCCTAAGTAAAATAATGTTTTACGAACTGTAATTTTTAATGTTCTTCACGATTATAGTCGCTATGCCAATACCAATATTATTCAGGGTCTATATGTTGTTAAAACCACCACGTTCCAGATGTTGATCCTATTTCCGCCTTCAGGTGAAAGGAGGATAAATTCTAATTATGTTTCGAACTTTAATCTAACTAGTCTCGAACCCAGACCTGGCCGCAGTCCAGATATGACAGTCTCGACTAAGGGGCCTAATAGATTATAATTTTGTTCCCCCTTTCACCTGATGATGGAAGTAAAATCAATTTCCGAAACGCTGTGGTCTTAATAACAACTAGACGACGGACAAAGTCGAATAGAAAAAAAATATATACAGATAGAAGTTAGTGATAAACATGGCCGAAACATATTCTGGATAATAATAAGTGTTCAAAAGTGAAAAGAAAAATGTGTTTGTTTGTTTGTTTGTTTCTCATTGTGTCCATTGAAATTAAAGTGAACGGAGATAAATGAACGCTAATTAGAATCATGCTTCACGCTATGTTACTTCGATGTTACTGCATTACTTGCATTAGACTGATTTAACTTTGTTACATTTCAGTCCGACTACAACGAATAAATTATTAATTACTTTCTTTTCAGTCGTTGATTTTAATCACAAATCTTCGATGGAAACAAAAGTAATGTATTCTATTTTGTTTTCCTTCTTCATAGTACCTTACTTTCGTATTTATTCGACTAATGTTTGCGTTAAAAATATCTATAATACAAAAACATTTAAATTATACACTACTAAGAAAATTAGACGTATTATTCCAAACAGTACCAAAAACACCACAAATTTCATTGTCATTATACAGTAATTTCATAATAACAACAAACGGAACGATTAACCACTCACAGCTTGACTGTATTAATTAGTTGATATAATTGCGTCATATTGTGAATTAA